ATGCAATCTAATAATGTTTTCTTTTCAAATGATAAATTATATAAAAACTGTCCGAATGTTCTTTTTATCCGAGCGCTTTCGGCTATACATTTAGCCATTTTCAAGGATTAAATATTTTAACTGTTAAATAAGAAATAGTCTGTTGCATGTATTTTTATAAAATGTTTTTAATTTTCAAAACACTGTCAAGATATTGTGTCCATGTTTAAAGTTAATATTATTAAGTGTTGGGTTTTTTTGTTTTTATTAATAAGGCTTCCATTATTTACATTATTCGGACTATTGTCCTCATCTTTGTCGTCATATTTGTCACAACGTTTCGGCCGTTGTACGCTCCGGCCTACTTCAGGTAGTTGGAATGTCGAATTGAACCCTTTATTTCGCTCACTGGGGTAGACTGTTCGAGTTCCTCGTTTGATGGATGTCAGCTATCAGTTATCTCCTGTTAATTTTCCCTCTGAACCTTCTCCACTACCTTAACCGGGTATTGAACTCACACTCTTTGAGTCTTGTCACTGGATCTAACCAACGCCTTTATCCACTGTGCCATGTGAGGACATCTGGGTGTGAATTTCTGGGTATTATAAACCTAATGTCTTCAGCAACCATTTTTACCAGTGCTCATATTGCAATTTTGCTGTTATCATTGCATGTTTTTACCAGAGCTCATATTGCAACTTTTGTTGTTATCATTGCTTTTCTCTGGCATTCTTTATTACTGGTTCCCATATTGTATTTATTTCTATGTTTGGTCGGCTCAGGAGATTTTTGTGGCCTAGCATATGTGCTGATTCCTTAAGTTTACGAATTTTCCAATGGTGTTCCCTGTCTAAGATCTCATCATGATCTCACAGAGGGCAGTGATCTCCCTTCTCTCTTCATATGTGGTCAGCCACGCCTGATTTTTCTACTTCCCCTCCCGTTACAGCTTTCTGGTGTTCTTGAAGCCTTACCTTGAGGGGGGGGGGCTGTCTCTCCTTTATATTCCTTTCCGCAGCTGCACGGGATAGCGTACACACAGTCTTTAGTCATGTTCTCCTCTATGGGGGGAGGGGTCTCACTCGAGAGAGATATCTGCGAAGTGTTGTCACGCTTTTGAAGGTTGTCCTGATGTTATACGGACCGCAGATCCTTTGTATTTTCTCTGATAACCCCTTCACATAAAGCAGGCAGACTGTTTTCTGAGTGTTGTTGTCCTCCTCCTCTTGTACCCGCCTATCCCAGTTTTTAGTGGGGCGCTGCTATGTACCCAGGATAGATGTTACATTGTAGGGTACTACTTATACTGACCAATTCTTTATCTAACGTCTCTGGGTCGCCACTTATGACTTTTGCTCGATGTTGTAAGCAACAGACGATCCCTTTCTTTACGCTGTATGGATGGTGGGATTTGAAATTGAGGTACTGTCCGGTGAATGTCGGTTTACGGTGTACGGATGTCTTAAACCCATGCTCTGTTCAAGATAGTAGAACATCCAGGAATGGGAGTGTGTTGTTACTCTCTTTCTCCATTGTGAACTGTACCGAAGGTCTTATAATCCGAAGGTCCGGTAGGTCTGCATGAATATTTCAATAAGATCTAATTGAGCTATGGTTAGAAAGGTGTAGAGTGAGTCTGCATGTCAAACATGTTGTAGTGTGGCCTATATAATTATTTACGAACTTTGATTAATCAGGAATACAATTCCTTAATGGGATAAAAAGAACATTCGGACAGCTTTTATATAATTTATTATCCGAAAAGAAAAAAAAAATTAGATCGCATGAGAAATTGTATAAAAAACTAAATAAAAGCACCTTGTCTTGTCAATGAAATTTGCATAAATATATATATATATATATATATATATATATATATATGAGGCGCAATTAATAAATTGTCGCCATTTTATATTTTAAATTTCACTCATGCGCATTGTTTGTTTTTGATTTAGTCTACTACAGAGCATATAGTAGAGGCACCTGGACACCGTCTGTGAGAAAAAAAGAACATCATGATGCAATTCCCTTCACGAGAATATATATATATATATATATATATATATATATATATATATATATATATATATATATATATATATAAATTTTACTGGTGACACATCGGAGACCAGAAATAAAATTAAGTATCTTTGCATCTTCAGCGTTTCTCCCGGTTTATATTTACAACCGGCTATCTGAAGAAGTCCCTAAGCACATCGAAACGTATTTTTAAAATTTTCCCCCACCCATACACAGACACACACACACACACATATATATATATATATATATTTGTGTGTGTGTGTGTGTGTTTGTTTTTATGTGTGTGTATGACTAAAACATTGGGTTTCGATTTTGATGGACTTTAACAAGTCAAATCTAAGGATTTTATTTTGCAACAAGTATTTATGAATAGAAGTAAAATGTCAGTTTTACAATCTTTAAAAAATTAAGAATGTCAATAAATACGCTTCAGAAATCTAACTGAACTTAAATTCAAGGTAAACTATGGAAGGTGCTAAATGAGGTCATTTAATGCCTAATAAACGAAAGTGAGTAAATGTTGTTACTGTTATTGTTGATTTTTTTAAATAATGTAATTATTATTTTAGCTTGAGAAATTAATTTATGCATTAGGTTGGTGCATAATTATCAGGCGTTTTTGTTTTTTAAACAATATTTATTATGAAAAAAGAAACATAACAAATCAACAATAACATTTTTAAATGATTATTCCGGAGCGTATGATTATCGACACGCATTTTTATAAACAGAAAATAAAATAATATTATTTATTAAATAAAAAAGTAAACAAAACAGCAATTATTATTAACGGATAACTCGCCTACAAAAAAGGCAGATAATTATGCACCAATCCAGTATTTATATATTTTAAATAATAGGTTTTGAATTTAACTGTTTTCTTTTCATTTTTAAGAAGAATAATAGTTACGTATGTTGGCTTGGGAAGAAAATATTTTGAAAAAGTCGGGACGTAAATTTATATTTTGATAAAATTCAATAGCAGCATTCTCAAGAATTTTCCGTTTAAATAGGTTAAGTTAATAAGTGTGGCATTTTTTAGATCGAAGTTGATCTTATTTCTATGTATCACTTATGCATTTCATGAATTGTTATGCATAAGGTGTATAAGTTTCTTTTTTGTGTTCATAGATACGTTATTTTTATTTCTGCAAATTTCGCCAATATATTTTAAGGAATAGTTGTTTGTGATAGTTTATTTGATATATAGCTGCTTCAGAAATATTATTCTTACGGATATTTTTGGTTCTGATCATATCCTTAATAGTTTTAGATGTGTTTGTAATTATTTTGATATTTTTAAGATTGAAATAGATGTTAAGGACTAGTTGATATTATGTCTTGTTTAAGTAATTTATTGTCAATTTTTGCTGTTGTCATTGCCATTATCTTTTTTGTAGTTCTATATTTTGTATGTTTTCCTCTTAGCATTGTGGATGAAATAATGAAGATAGTGTTTTTTTAAAGATGTTTTTTTTTATGTATCTTTCTACTTCAGGTAAGTATTAGGGGCTGCAGATTATTTGTGCTCTTAAATGAGTTCATTTTTTTTATTAATATTTCTTGAATGTGCAGGTCGTTAGACGTAATACACACTGTCTATTAAATATAAATGGGACGCCTGTTTCAAATATGGAGTATCGACTATAATAGGGTTTGGTATATATATATATATACAAAAGTAAAAGAACAAAGAATAAAATTTTGACGTTCAAAACATTAATTTAAAACAGGGCTCAATACAAAAGTAGAGCAATACATATTTATTATACAGTTACATTAGAACATGTAAATATCTACTACAACTGTACATTTTGTTTCAACGTTAAAATCAAACGTTTCTTCAGGTGGTAAAAATGATGGTACTAAGCAATTTTATTCAAAACTGCGAATTAATTTCCTCCTTTTTTTTTTATCTTTCTCCTTTCTTTTTTTTTTATTGATTTCTTATTTTCTTTATTTTTTCTTAACATAAATCCTTTTTACCTTTTATGGAAAATTTTCCAAAAACGGAAAGTGAAGTAGTGTTTCATTAATCGCAATTTTGAATAAAATCGTTTAGTACCATCATTGTTAGCCACCTGAAGAAACGTTTGATTTTAACGTTGAAACAAAATATACAATTTTGTAGTGGATATTTACATGTTTCAAATATAACAGTGTATATATATATATATATATATATATATATATATATA